ATGGGGATTATTTGATTATGGAAGCTGAGCGGCGTTGCAGCCTGGGCTGTGAGCTCCTAACGAGGAGCAGCACCAGCAGCACCCAGTATGGGATGCGGGGAAGGAGGGCAGATGAGGCACAAGGGCACATCAGCACCTCCTGATGTGCCACCGATCCCCCAGTTCACACGTGTGAAATTCCACGGTGGCATCAGATGCTCTCAGCAAAGACTCATGGATTAAAGCTCAGCTCAGAGCAAACCAAGATCCACAGTGCCTGGTGCTACAATGAGGCCAACAGATCTCACTCAATCACTCTCGCTGCTGGTGGACGGGACCAAAGGGGATCATGTGCAATCAGCCTGCCCTGATGAATATGTCCAACCTGCTCTTTAGTCAAAGGCAGAGCACAGTTTGTTTCCACAAGCAGTCCTTCAGTTTATCCATCTTAATGCTGAGAAACTGTTTCATAACATCTGCTCTTTCTTGAAGGGGAGGTTGGCCAAACGTAGAGCCCACATACACCCTGTAAGATGGACATTCCTGTAAGCAGACCGTGCTCGGGAGCAGAGCACTGAACCAGACCTGCCTCTCTCTCAATGGGATAACTATCATCTTTCCAGGGCCACAGCTCTGTGGTGACCCTTATTTACCATAAATCATCTCTATTGCCAAAAGTAGGTTCTGCTCCTTTCCCAGCTTATCCCTGCCCATTGGCTTGTACTGGTGCACGTGTCCATTGGGATGAATGGGATTCACTGACATGGAGAAGTTGTCCACCTGAAGGCCAATCAAGAATCCAATGGCTTTTCTCCCAAACTGGTTCCTAGTCCAGCTCACCAGGAGGCCTTCCCAGGCTTGCACAAGAGGAGAGCACCAACAAGTGGATGCGGCCAGTCTTTGAGGTATTTCTCAGTGGTAGGTAACAGTGACTTGCTCTTAATCAGGTTGAGGGCTGGGCACCCCAGCACATGCTCACACACATCTGCTGGCCAATCTCTTCCCTATTCCTCCTCCCATCTCACCAGCTGTCTGTCTCCTCCCCTGCACAGCCCTCTCAGCCCATCTCTCACTTCCCTCCTGCATAACCTGACCATTTCCCTCCATCTCCCTTGGTCTTACCTACTCTCCCATTTTCATTACATGTTCCACCACCCCAGGATCACCTGCATTTTGCTAAAAATGACCACGTTGCCTTCTTTTCCTGATAGACATATGGGTCTCTTGGCCAGATAAACACTCTCATTTGTGAATCACAGAATGGTTTGAGTTGAAAGGAATCTTCAAAGGTCATCTGATCCAACTCCCCTGCAAGGAGCAGGAACATCTACATCTACAGCTCAACAAAGAGCAGCAGGGCTGAACCATGCAGACCTGCTGGTCTCTCATTTGCTGCAGGCAACGCTTCTTGGGTTGGTGGTCTCCACATCTGCAGCATCTGCAGTTGTGCTCGGTGCAATCAGCCCCAAGAAAGGGATGTGGCACACGATGAGCTGACTCTACAAGGATGCTGAGAAAGCACAGCACCATGGTCCAGGTGATGGGAGGGAGGGAATCAGGTCCCTCACTTCTGGTTTCCGGCACCAAAGCCCCAGTTTCGATGGGTTTCACTGCTTTGAGACTGAGTCACTTATTTTAGTGAGGTAATGAAGTCATGTGTAAATATTAGATTTAGCTTTTGGCTGTCAGCTGTTCCCTCTTAAAAAAAAAATAAGGAGCAAGAGAGACAGAGCGGGTGAGGGGAGGGGTGAGAAAGGGAGAGAAGCTTTCTGGTGAAGGCTGGGTAATAAATTACAGGAGCAGCTCTTGGGCTGCCAATTTAACACCATAAATCAAGCGCTGGGTATTACCCAAGTGCTCCCTGCGGAGGGCTGTCGGGTCAGAACGACCACCTTTTCAAATACTGGAAATGAAATCTTCCTAAATGCTGACCAACCTCATCCCTGCCAGAAACAATAATTTATTGCCTTATTAAAGGGCAGGAATCAAGAGAGGACAGCAGGGGAGCGAGGCGGGGGTCATTTTCATGGCCAGATCCCGGCCCTCCAAAGGATGAAGCAGCCCCTCCTTGCTCCCCCATAGCCCAGCTCCACTGCAGGGTGCCTCCACTCTGGGTGTCCCCAGGGACCGGTTCTTGAGTGATGGATTTAGGAGGTCATCACCCACATCATAAATGGTGGAGAGAGGGATTCTGATAGCGATGGCTCCGCACGGCTGCTCCCCTCTTGGTGTGGGGAGAGGGGTGGGAGGGGACGAGGGGCTGCCAAGGAAGGTGCCAAGTGAGAAGGAGGACGAGCTTCCTCGGTCTGCTGCAGGACAGGCTGGTTGCCCGTCTGCTCTGTTCCCATATGGGACGATTTTGTCATCAATTCAGATTTTTCCACTCTACTGAGAACTGACCCAGGTCTGTCAGACCCTCATCTGAGAGGATAATGAGTCCGGGACTCGATGGCCTCTTATCACAGCCTCCCATCGGTACATTGCATTCCCCTCGGTTCCAGAAGGCAGCTGCTCTGGGGATGCACTGATCTCATGAGGCCTCCCCGGCTGCTGCCCGGGGACCTGCCTGAGGGAAGGAGAGCTGTGAGCCCCACATCCTGACCCTGCTGTTCCTGGTAGCCGCAGGCAGGGGCACAGAGGGAAGATTTTAACCTAATTCTTTCTCCCGCCTCCTCCTAACAGCCAGGCTCTGTTTGCAGTGGTCACAAGGATTGTCCGAAAATACAGTATGAGAAAATAATAAAGAAATCTCCCTGTTGCCATGTCAGGAAACGCTCTTGCTGCACCGATCCAAAGGTCTGAACACACAGTAGCATTAAACCTTCACTGCTTTAGACAGATTCTCTGTTTTGTTGGAACAAATTAACTCTGCGAGACTCATTTGGTGTTTGTAGGAGGAATGGGGGGAGCAGGAAAGGGGTTGTTGTTGCTGAAGGAGACGAGCAGGATGAAGCAAGCCAGGTGCCAAGATGCTGCTGACCACAGAAAGTCCTGGTTTAGGGCCACCTATGAGCTAAGTTTTTAATGTCTCCTTAATGTAAACCGTCTGGTTGGGACATCTGGCTGTCAGCGTGTCTTCTCGCGAGCAGCTGTTTGCAGTAACCTGTGGCTTTCATGGAAACTGGGCTCACGAGGACTCCAGTGTGATGTATTTATTACACGGAGGCAATCAACTTCCCTCTTGTCGCTCAGTTTTATGAGCGAACATTTACTGCGAATCTGAGGCTCATCTGATAAACATTTCAAGGTATGAAAATGAATGTTCCTCTGGGAAGGAGAACAGCCCGTCAATTAAAATCGCGTTACGAGATGGCCTCCCTTGGCAAATCCTCCCCACGTCAGTGCCTCCGCTTCTGTCCCAGCTCCCGGCGATGCTGGGCGGGATGCAGAGCTCTGCTCTTGTCAGTCTGGCATCGACTGCTGCTGCATTTCCCCTTGGCTGCAGGTCACACACTGCTCAAACATGGAGTGGGGGCACACGAGCTCTGCAAGGGATCATCTGCCTGGCGAGGAAGGCAGACAGCAGCCGAATCGACCACTGGCTCCAGATGTAGCTCAGTATGGAGTGCAACAATGCGGGCTATTTAAATGTCACCTTGCAAATCTGGCGGCTCAGTGTAGGTATCAGGGTAGCTAACATGCTGCAATAAGTTGGATCTCAAGTAACAAGGGAAATAAGAAGAGTAAGAAGAGTGTAAGAAGAGGCTGATGGACCCCGGGGGCTCAGTGCAGTTGGAAAGGACAAACGAGTCTGCAGTATCATCAGAGAAAGAGGAAGGCGGTGGGAAGGAAGAGTGGCTCAGCGTCAGGCGCTAATGAGCTATCAAAGAAATTACGACCAAAGTCGTTTCTGTGGGAGGGCAAGCACCAGGCCAGCCTGGATTTATGTCTGTGAGAGGAGGAGCTGTTGTGAAGTGCTGTCATCCTGGTATTATGGACGGATCCTTGCTCGTGTCCAACAAGCAGACAGAAGTCGAGGAGAAAGAAGGAAATTCTTATTCACGGACAGCCCAACCCCTCTCCTCCATCCTTCCCTGTTCCAGTTTGTCAGAGAACAACAAAGAATCATAGAATGGCTTGGGTTGGAAGGGATCTAGTTCCAGTGGTTGTCAACCACCAAATTCAGCACCAGAAAAGACTGCCTAGGGCCCCATCCAAAGTTAGATGAGGATGATTCAAGAGCAGTGTCTACAAAAGCTTCAAGGCTACTTGAATTCTGAAGAGATTGTAACTTGTCCACAGGGTTATGACTTTCTTCAAACACTCCTTGCATGGTACCAGGGACACCACAGCAATGAAAATAAGGACAATCTTCTTAGCACCTACATCAATGAATTGAATTATTGTTACGGGAGAGTGAAGATGGAAAAGGGAACTTTGGAAATATTTACAGCTTGTACAGCAACCATATGGCACAGCGAGGATAAAGATGTGTCAGGTCCAATAGAGATAGAAATCAGCAGAAGGGAAAGTCCATGAAAAATACCTAGCAGAGACAATTTTACCACTTAGAATTTTGCTTAGTTGTTGATCCCCTCTGATAACATCCAAGTGCTGGCTTACACACAGACCACGCACTGTCCCTGATTAAGACCCTCTGGTCTCCCCATGGTGTTCCCAGTACCCTGCAGTACCGCCCACTTCAGCTCTCCCACAAGCATTTATCAAAGACCAAGCAGGGCCTGGTCAACACCATTGGATGGTTAATAACAGGAGGGGACTTCTCTCAGCTATGAGGAGGCAGGATAAGGGTGGGTACCTGGGCCCCAGCTCGTCTTCGCTACGCCAGACAAAGTCTCCAAACTTCTCATAGTGGGAGTTGTAGTGGTGCTGGACTCGGAACAGCATGGAAGCAGAGACCTCCATCAGCGTGTTGTAGGCTGTCTGCTGCTCCTTCCCACTGGTGTAGCCATTATAGAGGTTGTAGATTTTGTCAGCTATTTCTGGAAGAGAGCAGGGGACAAGATTTAATGAGCACAAGTGTAGTGGGAATGCTAAGTTACGGCCTGAAGCAGTGACTGAGCACCTGGTGGGAAGGCAGGGCCAACCCAGGAGAGCTCAGCTGCATGCAATACACCTGAGTAATTGGAAGGGGTGGAGGCAGGATCTATTCCTTCTACGACCTCATTTAAGGGTTGGTAGTGGAGGCAAGGGCACCTCTTGCTGTGTATCCCTGTCTACCTGAGGCCTGCTAAAGGTAAGTAGTTATTTTCTTTCATTTCTGAGGCTGCCGCATTTGGGCTCATTCTTGTTTGCTGGGCCCAAAGACTTTGCTACCCTGCCATTATCATGGTACTTTCCATCCCATTATAGCAATACAACAGGGAAAAAGAACAAGCAGAGAACTCTGAAAAGGGCTGGTGGGAGGTGCTGGGATAGCTGCAAATGAAGCTTGATTTATTGAGCAAGAAGGTGTGTGCTTTTGTTGTAAAAAAAGAGTATTTTTTAAGAAATGAAAAATGTAGAAGACTCTTTTTCTTTCCTCTTCTGTAAAGCCTCTCATTTGCTCATTTTGGAAGTGCTTATCAATAACACTAAACAAAGCATTAATCAAAGCTTTCTTTTGTTTGTTTCCCAAAGTAGAAAGAAAGGAAATAGGTAGCAGGCCTTCTATTCTTTTTTAGACAAGTAATTTAAAACTCAAAAACAGCAAAATGCTTTGGGAAGGAGAGAATGAATTTGACTGATTGGTTTCAAAACTGGGAAATGAAACTATGAAAGTGGTTGATGTCTCCATTTCAAAGTCAACACAGCTGCTACTGCTGTCCCACTAAAGACCCAGAGTTGGATCCCATTCAGGGCTGCCCTTACTTTGCAGGCAGCAATTGCCCTTTTCCATAGGATGTTTGCTGGCAGGTCCCCAGGATCATACGGGGAGCAGACATGATGGCACTGAGCTACGCAGGACCATACAGCCTCCACTACAAGATGTTTGTGATTTGCCATCCATCCCAGCCCCATATCCCTGTGCCCAGGGCTCACTTATAAGAGCTTGTGGTCTGGAAGAGGAGACTGGAGAGGGTTGCAGGTGTGTAATGGATACAGGAGAAGCAAAATTAACAGGAAATGGCTTCTGTCTTGGGAGATGAGGTGCCAGACTGACCTTCTGCCTTGCTGTCATCTACCAGTGGGCAGGCTGTCCTCAGGGTGACCGTGCTCAGCTCAGAGTGTCTCCCTCGTGTGTCCACTGCATACAGAGTGAACCTGGAAAGCAGGAAGGGAAAGAAAAATGTCTTTATCTCCTGGTCTGACACCACCAGATTGTTATGGGAGCTGACTTCATGAGAAGTGAAAAATGTGGTCCTGGCTCCCATCAGTCACTTCTGGCATCTCAAGGGGATGCAAGATGTCTCTGGCTAAGAATAGGAAAGCAAATAGCAAGAGGAGGCATGGGGGTAGGTCACAGCATCCCCGTGCACCAAGGGTGGGCTGCGTGCCATGAGTTGGAGAAGGATGCACACAGCTCTGCATGAGGTGCCGTGCACCCATGCAATGCAGTAACATTGCAGTGCTTGCACCTCCCTGCAGTAATTCTGCCCTAAGTAGGATCTGTGCTGACAAGCGACAGCTCGCACACATCCTGCAAAAGGCCCTTGAGGTTGTTTTCTAGATCATTTCCTCACCAGGGTGTGGCTGGTAAAAGGGTGGGAATGATAATTTCACACTTGAAGCTAATGGAGAGCATCTGACAGTAAAATACAGCTTTTGTGCTGGATAGAGCACTGCATAAACAGGCTGTGGCTGCACGGGATGTCCTGTGATGCTAAGCTCAGAGCTGTGCTCACAATATCAAAGCTCCAAAATGAGAATGCTTCTTTGCAGTGGGGGCAATAATTTTTGCCCACTCTTCCAGAAGGTATAGAATGGTATTTACCCAGCCCAAGCCAGGCATAGAAACCAAAGCTGCTTTTGGCACAGGGTGGGAGCTGGGCACAGAGGTCCCTGAAACAACACAGCTCTACAGTTGTAAGCTGAAAGGGGATTGAGACCCCAAGGCATGTTTACTTAAGGAGTGATCCTGACTCTCAGCATCCTCATCAGGGACAACAGTGATGCCTGCCTCCTCCTCACTCCCAATCAGTGGGCTGCTCCCACATCCCACCAGCAGCTGATAAGAGCTGACATCTGCATGGTAGCAATTCCCACATGGGATGTGCTCTCTCCAAGCAATTAGCATTAGCTCTGTAACAATATTTGCTGACTGAAAGGATGCCAGCAGACTGCCAAGGAACACACTTGTGCATAGGGACAAAGCTGGGGCAGGCAGGAGATGCAAATGCTGCGCTTGCCTAAGGAGATGCTATTTAATTCTTTGGCATGACATCATCTTCCTTAATTTAGAAGGAACGTTGCTCAGAGTGGGAGCATCTCACAAGGATGTCCGTGCTGTGCAACTTCACAAGTACCACACACAGGCTGTTCTCCTGCTATAATTAAGGGACAGCAGCAGAGCAATAGGGGAATTCGAATCCAGGTCAAGAGTGTGAGTGCCAGGCTCTGCAGAGCTGCCATCTCCACTTCTACTGAGCAAGGAGTCTCCTGTGGGCAGATAAGCAGCACAGATTGCTCTCTCTGGGTCCACAAAGCAGCAGTAACTGGGGCACGCAGTGTCAAGAAGGGCACCCCAGGAGTCCTGCAGCTCATCCAACCACCCATCAGCAGGCATTGCTCTTAGAAGAACAGAATCATTAAGGTTGGAAAAGACCTAAGATAACCAAGTGCAACCTCATCCCACCACATCTCCAAGGTTGTGGAAGGCCTCCAGGGACAGCACTTCTCCCTGGGCAACCTGTGCCAATGCATTACCGCTTTATGAGAGAAGAAATGTTCACTAACACCTAATCTGAATCTCCCCGGGAACAACATGAAGCCATTGCCTCTTATCCTATTGCTGTTACTGGATGCAAAGGTTGAGCCCACCTCCCCACAACCTCCTTTCAGGAGTTGCAGAGAGTGATACAGTCTCTCCCAAGCCTCCTCTTCTCCAGACTGACCCATCTCAGCTTCTTCAGCTGCTCCCCATTGCTCTTCTGCTCCAGCCCACTCACAGCCTTGTTGCCCATCTCTGGACACACTCTGTAGTTTCTATGCCTTTCTTGTAGTTAGGGGCAAGCCTCTGCAAGCATGGCAAGCTCTCAGGGGGCTCAACAGGTGGGTTTCTGTTGTGAGCTGACCTCTGTCCCCATGCTGGGTCATTGGCTTAGCTGTGCTGGTTGTGTTTTCCTTTGTAAATGGGTGAGCACAGCTAATGTGCAACCTCTGCTCTGCCTGCGGCAGCTTCATCAAGAAGGCTCCATTATCTGCGAGGTAATCGGTGCCAGAGCACTTCCCTTGAAAACAGCAGACTTTGATGAAAACAATGGTAACAGTCAGCAATTAGTGCCCACGTCACCTATTCCAGCACCCGTGGGTCAGGAGGGATGCGGCTGCCTGGCAGGGGTCACAGTGCATCCCCCATCTGCTGGGGGGGAAGGACCCTTTTGGGCTCTGCTTCTGCCCTCTGCTAACACCAAAGCAAAGAGTGACAGCATCCATAATGGTTCAGGCTGGGTTAAAAAACTGATCCACACACAGGGCCTTCATTTCATCAGATGAGATTGGGGGGGGAAAAAAATATGAAGAAGGCACGCTTAAATGGGAAATCATCAGAAGCAAAATGATTTTGACTCGGTCAAAAGAGAATGCTTTAACTCACATGAAACCAATCCTCTCTGAGTTCCCAGAAGAATGGCTTTGTGCTCCATTCCTTTTGGTGGTGAGGCAGTGGCTCAGGCTGCCCGGAGGTGGTGGTGCCCCATCCTTGCAGCTCAGGCAGGACGGAGCTCTGAGCACCTGACTGTTCGGCGCAGGGAGTTGGATGAGATGGTCCTTAAGATCTCTTCCAACTCAAATGATTTTATGATTCACTCTCAAGGAGAGCTGTTCCGGAATGGGCACCAACAACTTCAGCTCTGGTGGCAGCTGGCAGCCCCAGCAGCACACAGCCCTCTGCCCCTCTCCATTTCTACCCAGCATCTGATCTCAGAGGGCTTTGCCGTTAACATCCAACAGATTGCTCTTGAAGCACTGACAGCTCTGCTTTAGTGATGGCAAACAGATATTTATGAGGTGAAGCATCTCAACCAGGAGAGCCGCAGCAATGTGAGCAGATCGCAAAAGTGGGAGATGATGGTTGCCCACCTCCTTCTCAACCATTTGTCCACCCATCCTCTCTGTGGCAGAATGATCTCAGAGCAGTTGACAGTCCTGCTCAGTGTGCTGGTAATTTTTTCCCTTTATTTGTGGAAATGGATAATCAAGAGAAGAAAGAGCAGAGATCTGTGTCTCTGCTTGCAGTGTCCAAGAGAGACCCATGGCAGCTGTGGGTGAGGTGGGGACATGACCATCCCTGCACAGCATTTTGGATGAAGGCCTCGGCAGGCAGCGAGGCAGCCTGACAACGATGGAGCTGCACCCAACAATGCCAATGGGGCCCTTTGGGAGCCTCTAAGGAAAAATGAGACCAACAAGTGGTTCTGAATTCCAGGCTGGAATGCCATGAGGCAGCTCTGCCCTGGCTCTGCCTCCCCCATACCTAGGAGGTTGGTTTGTGCAGCAGTAAGCATTCCCTGCAATGCTCCTTCATGTGCTCCCTGTGCTCTCGTGTCCTCTCTCCTTTCCCCCAGTGCCCTTAGCATGATCATACATGGATGCTGCCTTTGGAACAATACTAAGACATATTCTGCCCAAAGAGGTTCCAAGGAGCGTTTTACCACTGGATGCACAGATGCTTTTGGCAGAGAGCAGCCCTGCATGCCTGGAAATGCAGCCACCTCAGCAGAGAAACAGCACATCAAGTCCTATAAAATAACACTGCTTAAATGTTTCCCACTACACTGACCAGAAGGAACTTTTAGAGAGAGATAGAAAGCAATTAACATGTGGCCTCGTGAAATGTCAGCAACACCTTCTTTGTAGATACTCCACCCAAAGTTGGCTAAAGCAGGGATTTTATCACTGGGCTCAAGATAGTTCTTGGGGGGAGGAAGAGAAGGCAGGGAAGGGGGGGGGGGGGGGGGGGGGCTAAAGCTTCAGTTCCTGGAATCCAATGATTGTGGAAGATTGTCAATTGAATTTAAAAAAAAAAAAAAAAAAAGAACAATATGTTTCTTGCCTTTCTCAATGCAGAGGAAAAAAAAAAGAAAACAACACAAAAAAACAAAATTCTAAAGGCCCAAAACCACAAGGCTGAGAATGAAACTCCAGAACATGTTCTTTATTTATAGACAACAACGCTGGCTCATAGTTTTTTTAACTCCATCTCACGATGCTGACAATGTTTGAGTGCTTTACTCATCATCCTTATTTGTAGGAAGGCAGATAAGGACTTCTGTGCTGACCTTCCTGGGCTGGCAGTTGATTTCTTCCCATCCTAAGGAGATAACAAACATTTCTGCTGTTCTGTGAAGCTCCACGAGATGCTGAACCACTACGATCTGGCTGGGCTGCAGGGAAAAGGGTCTGAGTCCAATAAATACTACAGCATCTGCCAAACACCCGTGCAAAGTGCTCAAGTGCCTACAAGCTGCTGGCTGCACACACACACAGTGGCTGTGCAAAAACCCAGCTGTGCCACATGAATGGGGGACAGGGCAGGGTGCTGCTCCAGGGCCCAGCATCATGCTGAGATACGGGCCCAGCCTCTGCAAAGTGGTTCAGCCATGATGTGCTCTTGCCAACACTTCTCATTTCCTGGTCCAGCTGAAGGATTGTATTTTAGTTAATCAACTCAGTGATCAGAGAGAACTTAGAAAGGTAAACAAGAGCAACACTCCTCTGAAGGAAACCATCACAGCATCATTAAGGTTGGAAAAGACCTAAGATCCCCACAGCCAACCCCAACCCATCCCACCACATTCACTGACCACATCAACTCAGTGCCACATCTCCACAGTTATGGAACACCTCCAGGAATGGTGACCCCACCACTCCCTGGGAAGACCTGTTGCAGTGCATTACCACTCTTCTGAGGAAAACAAAAGTTAGCTAACGTCCAACCTGAACTTCCCCCAGCACAAATTAAAGCCTTCACCTCTCAATCTAAAGCAAGCAGACATTGAGAAGAGAAGGCTTGTGTGGAAGAAGTGACTTTCCCTGTCCCTTGCTGGCCCCATTTCATGCTGAGAGCTCACACTGTGCCTTTTTGCAGTGCCCGTTGGCAAGGTGGGCTCATACCTCTGCTTGGGGTTAGAGCAAAGCTTCACAAGACACTGGGTGATCCCTGCTGTACCCTTCCACCAATGCCTCCCAGAGCACAGCTGTCAGATGGAGGGAAATAAGTGTCCCTGCACCACATGCCTCAGGTGCTTTTTGGAAGCACATAAAACAGCAACCATCAGATGCTGCCAGCAGGTGCCCGGCTCATGCTTTGGGGCTTTACACCATGGATGGAGGCAGAGCAAAACAAGTCCCATGGAAAGAAGCGCTGCTGTGCTGGACAAAACTGCTGGTGGGGATGAAATGTGGATGAGAGAACAGCTCCCTGGCACTGGAGAGGGACAGCACGCCCAAAGCATCAGTCCTGACATAAAATAACATTCATGCAGTCAGTGTCACAAGTCTGGGGCTTCTGCTCCCATGCTCACACCAAGGACCAAGGGAACACATTCTTATTTTACCATGAAGATCCACAGGAGACCCTCGGGGGTTGGCACCCAAACAGTGCGGATGAGATGATGACGGAAAAAACAGAATCATTGGGAAACTATCATCATAGTAGGAGAGAAGGGAGAGGGGAGTTGGGGATCTGGATTTCTTGGCAGTTGTGTCCTTGCTTTTGTCCTGCAGGCTGTGGAGATGAGAATTAGCAGATGTGCTCACAGAAGCAACGCAGCAAGAACTGGCCAGAATCTTCACCACTCCACTGCCAAGGCCTGGGCAAGGTGTCCCCTCCACCCGGCAAAGTCCCAAACAGCCCCAGCTCACCCAGGAGGGGAATCCCAGTGTTCTTTGGTAGACACAGGCACTTCTGCCTCTAACTAAGCACAAGCAGTTGGCATTCATCTGCCAAATGATCTGCCAAAAGTCAGGTCCCTGTTTTGCTGGGACTCATCCTGAGATGCCACGTAAAGCCCTGGGCACCCCACAGCCTCCTGCCCAAGCTCCACCAGTGTTACACACTTGGAGGTAAGCCATCACTCTGAGGTTTGGCTCTGTTTCTACACACAGACCTGCAGCTGGACACCTTTCAGCTCATCTGAAAGCATTCGCACATGAGTTCAGCACACCAGGTGGGCCTCCAAAAGGACACTGCTTTGGGTTCCTGTGCCTTGGGCTACGTTAGG